TAGCATTTGTAGAGATTCTTTGATTTGATAGTAGGTACCAAAGAAACTACCAACTACTAATAAAATTTAGTAAATAATTTCTAGAGAATCCAAAATGCTCATTTCAATATTTCAAAAAGTTGATATTTTGAGTTTCTAATAAACACTTGCAAGCCGTTTAGTAATGTTTTTGCATATAAGTAAAACTACTCATTATAATAAATAATATTTATTTGAAACATCCTATTAAATTTAGTTGAACGTCATCTGTCATTCCAAGTATAAAATTATTTATTTGATATATTAGGATGGTGCATCCAAGAGAATAGTCGTATTGTACGACAAAAAACTTTATACAACAATTTCACAATTTGACCAAGTTAATTTTTATATTTGCAGCATTGTTTTAAAATATAAATAGTTTCAATTAATGAACAAGTAAATACAAGAAAAACAGATTCGTTTCTCAAGTATAAAGTGTGGTCTACATTGTGGTCCAATTCTCACGAATACATCAAGAACTTAATGTAAATTAGTGTGAACGATCTAATTAAATAATGATATATTTTAGTAATGAAAACCGGATTTCGAATTGTTTTTCTTTAGGTAAAGTCTTAACTTTTACTTTAAAAGCAATTTCTAGCTGAAGGTCACTCAAAATTACATCCAATTCGGATAAAACCATTCAAAATTCGATAAAACAAATCTAAAGATTGCATTATAACCTTTGATACAAATTAAAATTTTAACTTTTTCTATAAATCTCTCTATAAATGCTACTCATAATTCTTTTTATATCAATGTTTATTTAAATATGGAAAATTTACCATTACCTGAAATCTATTATTGTGTAATAAAATTGTCAAATTAATATGCCAATATAACTTCTATAAATTGAAAAGTGAAATTTCTGAGGTGTTGAATTCAATTTACAATACAACGTATTGCATTGTATTTATTTTATCGATTTGTATATAATGATGTATTGATGAAAAAGTTAACAAAAACTATTATGAAAGATAAATCAAGAGATATTTAGATGTACTTTTTAACTATTGCAATATTTATAGTAAAATATATCCTTGTCCGAAATAAATAGACTCTCTAAATTCGTAGTTACGACTTTTTTATGGACGTTGATGATTTTTAGATGGCCTGGCCTAGATGAAAATCGTTTATATTTTTATATGAATTTATATTTTTGAACGCATTTGCATGGTTTTTCTATAAATTTCAAAATCTCAAATTCAAGTATATTTCCAAGTAACAATTATTGATTATATTTTCGAATTGTTATCTTTCACATATGGGTTTTATATAGCTCGAAGCCACCAGAATTTGCGAAAACAGTTACGTGTTCCCAATTTCTTTGAAAGTGACGCATATTTCGAAAACGGATACAATTAATAATTTTCTTTGTGACAAGTAATAAATACCAATTAGTCACCAGTAGATTTGAAGAAATTATTTCGAAAGGAAACATAGTTCGAAAGCAATTTTTTAAAATCAGTAACTAGAAACTAACATGAAATTTCTAAGAATGATAGAGTATGAAAAAGTGAAGACGATAATACAAATTTATCTTGTTTTTCTTTCCGATTATTCTAAAATCTAGTTAGTTTGACATTTTTTTAAGAAATTTTTAGCAATGCATATTTTAAGAAATCATCATCTTTTGGTAGTTCACTGCTTCGATGGTAAAATGTTGCTCAACCAGAAAATATTGACCAGTAGAAGAAACAATGGATGACATTGAGTTTTTAACATAAAAGTAGAAAATCTGGAAAGCAAATTACATATTCAATCTGAAAAACCAACTATCTGGTAAAAGTTTAACACTATGCCGTCCGGCGACACCACAGTGGTGTCGAGCGCGAACTAGCGCTTAACAGCCGGCGACACCACAGTGGTGTCATGAGCACAGTATCTTCCTTTGGCCAGTGGCAGAAATCTTTCCATCCTGTTGGTGTTTAATTTAGATAACAAAAAATTACCCCCTCAACATTAGTAAGAACTAAAATTTGTAATTTTTCGATAATATTCAGAATGGGCGGGGACAAGCAAAGTGATAACGAATTAGCACTACCGGCGCCAAGCGAATAAATTTTTACAAAACGTGCGGACGGCAAAGTGTTAATATATCAAATTAAGGCATTCATAATCACTTGAACCATTTTTAACTCTTATGGAGTTGCTAAACATTGAATTACTTCCTAAACACAATATCTCTCCGAAATATAAATATTATTGCTGAAAAAGAATTTGTTTTGGAAATTCGACTGCAAAAATTTGCAGATGTTCCATATGCATTAGGTGCAAATATTAGAAAAAAATTAACTATCTATCATACACCTTGTCATTCTTGGTGATACTACCTTGATCAAAATTTGAACAATAATGTAAATTATAATGAATAGACAAAGATTTATGTTTACCACCACATGATATTTATGGAATACCGTTCACAGAGACTCACATAACTCGCAAAAAACTAAAATATTAATAAATACTTGAGATATGAGTTGACAGGTTAATCTTGAAACTAGACGAAGGCTATCCGCCTCGATTTATTCTGCGTTCTTCAGAAGGTCTTTAAAACTCATACGGGATCATCTAGATAATTTATTGGCAATCATTGATTTGTTGGCAAGTTTAGCAGTAACTGTTAATATTGAAATTATATACCGGTATATAACGTTAGAATGAAAGAATTTAATTTAATCATAATTTCAGGGGCAATTTTTCAGACATTTGCTAAATATCTTGGAGATCTGACCTAGACCAGATGGATAATTGAAAGCAGTAGTTGCAAGGATTGAAATACATTTTACTATGACTTATAATAAGTAAATTTTACATATCATTTTTTAATTCTAAATAAATTTGAAGAAACTAACTGAATCTCGAAGTTAGTCTATCTTCATATTATATTAAATTGAGTTTCATATATTGGTTTTATGGTCTGAAATATT